GCTCCACACGCTTCGACTTTTCTTAAGAACCTGTCCCAATTCAGACCAAGGAAAAAACACAACAGCCAAACTGCTGGACGTCTTTTTTTTTTTTTGGAAGTTCTAAAAAAAAATTTTTTTAAGAAAATAAAAGTAACAACCAATCGAATCCAATTCTTTAAGGAGTCTTTAAAACAGAAGGACACAGAGAACAGCTTTGGGGGTGTCTCTTAGGTGATTCAAATGGGTTTCCCACGCCCGGGCGGGGCACAGTTTGGAGAGGACTCTATGCTGACATGGCTCTGGACTTAAAGATCGCAAACTTCACTCTGGGTACCCTATGCCAGACAAGCGGACTCGCTTGTAAATACCAGGATTTGTTTCGCAGGAGGGATCGGGGCTGGGGAGAGGAAAGACTTCGACAGAACCCACTTGTCACCGACACAAAGGAAGCGTCCCCTCCTGGCGCCCACTGGCGGGCCCAGGCTCGGCCAGGACTCCGTGGCCCCGTGGAGAATTGTTTTATGTTTGATGTGAACTTGTAGCTGTAAAACGCTGTCAAAAGTTGGACTAAACGCCTAGTTTTTAGTAATCTGTATATTTTGTTGTAAAAAGGAACCCAGGCCCAGGCCCCAGCCCCTCACATTTTTTATGGACATTGACAAATCCGTGTATATTATTTGGCAGTTTGGTATTTGAGGCGTCAGTCTTTTTCTGTTGTAACTTATGTAGATATTTGGCTTAAATATAGTTCTTAAGAAGCTTCTAATAAATTATACAAATTAAAAAGATTCTTTTTCTGATTAAAAACCTTCCTTTTGGTTTTGTTTTGTTTTTTTTTTTTGTTTTTTGTTTTTTTTTTTGGTTAGCGGCCTCATCATTGGTTTGATGGGATCGAATTGTTTAGAGGCTGGAAAGACTGGGAACCAACTAAGAAAGCCAACCCCGTGGGAAGAGGGAGTTTTGTTTAGCCTCGGATTTGAGTGGAAGCAAACCTTGACCAGTCCTAGTCCATGGCAATAGAGAGGAGAAAAGATAAACTACTTCCACCAGGAGGAAGAGGGAGAGAGGGGGAGAAAAAAGGGAAAGACCAAAGAACTCGTTTTCAGAGCCAAGCTTCTGTTTTTAGAAGCCCCAGAAGTACCTACTGTGCTCTTATACAGCTGAGCCAACGTTTTAAAACAGTCCGCCTGACATCCTGTTTTAAATAACTCTGAATGAGCTACCATTTTTACTGAAAGGATCGATCTGTAAATTTGAACATCAAACGTTTATTTCTAATCTGTGGCAGTTAGGTGGGAGGCTTTTTTTTTTTGAAAATGGGTAGGGAAGTCATTACTGGGTTTTTGTTTCTGCTCTAAAACAGTGATTCTGGCTCAGGGACCGGCCGCGGACCCCCAGCCTCTCCAGGCCTCTCTGGTCTCTGGCAGTGTAGGATTGTACCGCAGACTTAGGGATGCCCTGGGCAGGACTTTAGGGGCTGGGTTTTTGCTCTTTGTTCCACTAGTTTCCATCTCTGGGCTCGGAAATCTCTCTAGTAACGAATCTTTCTCCTGTCTTCAGTAAAAAATACCATAAATAATAGTAGGACCCCTTTCTTCGGACCTCTAATTTTCTGGTCATTTCGGGCTCGGACATGTGTAGAGGGGAAAGTTGGGGGAACTCTTAGAGTTGCAGGGCGGGAGAGAGGAGGAGGATTGGTGGTGGACAGAACAGAAATAGTAATCCTACATGGGCTGTTGCCCCTTCCCTCCCGTCCCTGATAAATCTCCGGCGGAAAGGGCGCCCTGGTGGACTGGGGACAGATACACTTCTCAACACTTATTCTCTAAGCCTGGAAGTGTTGGATTGTGGAGGATTCATTCATAGCTGGCATGTGCTCTCTTCTCGCCTACAATTTCAGCTTTCTTTTTCCTCCCTTGCCTCCCTCTATCTTCGTTCCTCTGTTTTTCCTTACATTTCCTGTTTCTCTCTTCCCCCCACCCTCCCTCCCTCAGCTTGTAAGACTATTCAACTGGCTCAGGTGTTTGCCCCCAACTCAGCAGCCCTTTTGTTAGCTTCTTGGGGGCTTCCCTCATTTGGTGCCTCAGAACTGGAGGCTAGAATGGGCTTTCTTCCCTAGAAACCCGGATCTGGCTGCTGAGATAGTGCTTCCGACATCGAGAGAGAGCTCCGAGGTTCCGAGAGGATGGCTGGTTAGGTTGTGAGTGTGTGCTGGTTGGGGGGAATTTCAGCAGGCCTCACGTTTTAGAAAGCAAAGAAAATATGCGGAAGTTTGAACCTTTGCGTTGGAATGGGCAACCGTGGTCCTGGGACAGGGAGTGTAGGTGGCTAAAGCACACAGCTCAGGCCGGGACTGGACAGGGGAGGGAGGTACTGCAGCGTTAGGCTCTCAGGTCCCGATTCTGTGGGTGTGGGAGTTTGGTTCACCATGCTCCCGGCCCACAGTAAGCCTGGGCGGAGGCGGGGCAGGTGATGTGGCCGCTGCGGTTGCGGCGCCTCGCCCCCACCCCCATCCCCATCCTAGCCCCGACCGGGCCCTTGGGAGTCACAATTTTAGTGGGCTGTGCTACACTCAGCCTTATCACTCTTGTTCTGGATGGAGTTTCTAACAAATACATTCTTCTCCCCGCCGTCTGGAGTCGGCTTAGTTTGAAGTCTGTTTACTTGTCCGGGGGAAAGGTGAATTCAGCCGGGTCTGCGAATGGGCCCTGAGACAAACAGGACCTCAGCCGCTTCTCGCCATCAATCACGCGGAGTCCACCAGCTCCCGCTCCTGCCCAGGGGCTCCTGTCGCAGCTGTAGGAAGCAGCCCTGTAACACAATCTAAAGCGTCTTGATGGGGGAAATAGGTGCGCGCTGGGCGCAGCGCAGGAGGGTTCCGCAACCTGGGGACACTCCCCCCCCACCCCACTCCACCCCCGGCCCATCCCGGCCAGCCTCTAGGAAGCTGACCATCGTCCTTTCCGGGAATCCTCCTCCCCTAGGTCTCTATAGTTCGCACCCAGATCGGTTCTGGCTTACCCCGGGAGAAATCAACCTTTTGGGGATGCCCTTGCTGTTGTTGTGCTTGTAAGAGTCGGAAGATCCCCCACTTGTGGGGGCAGCGCCGCTTGCCCCTGGACCCCAGCGAAGCTGAAGGCCCCCGCCTAAGCACCCCCACCCCATCTCTAGGTCCTGGCGGCTGTGGGGAGTGGGGGGGGGGGAGATTTTGCAGACGGCGTTCCCCTTCCTCCTTTCCCCCACCCCCACCCTCCATGTAAACAAGAGGACTTTCTCGAGAGTCCTGGAGAGCGGCTTTAGTGGCTTCGGGGCCTGAAACCCCAGGCTTGGCTTGTTTGATGTTTAGCATCCCAAAGCAGATCCTCACCCCCGCCCCGGCCTGGGAACCGGAGCTCTAGGCCGGAGAGGCAGGGAAGCAGCCCTCTCAGCTGGCTGGACCCCCCGGCTTGGGCCCGGCTCAGGGGAGGCGAGAAGAGCAGAGCAGATATGCTCTGGGCAGGAAGGAAGGGAGCCTGGGCTGCCGCCGCCTCCAACTGGAGCACAAGTGGGTACAGCTGGAGTCCTCAAGGCCAGGAGGCGGGTGAGGGCAGATAATGCCTCTGCAGCGGGGACAGCGGCTCCGCGATAGGGGCTGGCGGGTTGGAAAGCAGCACCCGGCCTGCGGGTGAAATCCGAGCCAAGCCCGGGACGACTTCGCAAGAAACTCTCTGGGTACATACGCCTGGAGGCGCGCGCCGGCGCAGGGGCCTCGCAAGAGGCAGCTCTTCTTCCCACTGCTTAGGGCTTGACCTTTCAAAGGAACAGATTTGTTTCGAAGCTTCCCAAGGGATTTTAAATCCTCCTGGGGCAAGACTAGGGAGCTCCAGAGATTGTGCCTCCGGTGATTGGCTTCGGGGTCTCCTACTTTGAGGCCCCAGTGAAGAATTATCAGACTTTAGAGACCCCACACCCTTCGAGCGCGCTCACCCGCGCATGGGCGCCGGTGAGGAGCTACCTGGAAGCGCGAGTGCACAAAATGTAGCACGAGTGACTCTCAGGCGATGAGAGGAAATGAGACCGGGGTTTCCTGACTTCCATCTTATTAGGGACCAGGTAAGGTCAATGCTTTCTCTATTATGTCTTTATCTTAAAAGCGGGTCAATTTAAGATAAGGGAGAAAAAACCCCAGGATCTGTGTGAACCTTGCTGATAAAGACTGACCCCTTTCCTGAAATAAAAGCAAGCCAGGCATTCATTTTCTATAAACAAGAGAGTTGTGAGAAGCTGTCTTGAATTCTGATCGGATGTCTCCCGTCTCTCTAGACTTCGCTCCCCCGCTCCCAGTTACTACCCAGAGGGAGCAGAATGAACAGTTTTACGTGTGGACAACTAGAAAGCCTGGTGGGGAATGTGAATCCGGGGTGATATGGCTCTTAGGCATGGTTTGCTTGCTTGTTTCAAACACTGCTTTCTTGTAGAATGAAATGAAAGTGCCAGACTTGGGTATCTGGATGAAGGGGCTAAATATTTTCCTTGCTCAACCCTGTTAGGAGATGTGGACACCGTCTTCCTCTGGCCCTTCCTGCCTGTCTCTGTGGTTGTGCAGTTTTGTGTTCCTACCACCTCAGGCCACCTTCTGTGAGGGCTGACTTGGGCTCCTGCCTCAACCTGGAGTACAGAAAGTTTTCTGGCCCTTCTTCACTAGTGGCTTCTCGTAGGAGTGTCCTATCCGCAGTCACTCACTTCAGAGAACTTGTCCACCCAAGGGACTGGAGGAACTGAGTACTGATGGGAGTAGAGGGAAATAGGTGCTTTGCTGAAGGGAAATGAGACCCCCCGCCCCTACACACATAGTTGCATTTCTGAACTATCCTGGAAGATTCTCAAAGGCACAGAGGAGGTTCGAATTCAGCCACCTGGCAGCACAGCTTCTGCCTCATCTGAAGCCATAGCTGTCGGCTATGTTTCTCTCTGATAGTGACCTAATGCTTGACTTTGGAGGGTATCTAGGCACAGTCCCCTGCTTCTGGCCTTCTCGTTTGAAGATTTTTTCCATTTGTTCTCTGCTTCCTAAACATTACTTCTGTTATTAAGAGTTGTAGCAAAGTTCTGGAGCCCTGGTGGTGCAGTGGTTAAGAGCTTGGCTGCTAACCAAAAGGTCAGCAGTTTGAATCCATCTTGGAAACCCTATGGGGCAGTTCTACTCTGTCCTATAGGGCTGCCATGAGTCAGAATTGACTTGATGGCAATGGGTTTGGTTTTTTGGTTTAACAAAGTTTTGGGAAGGATGAGATTAAATCCATTTTCTTTTTTTAGTTATTTGCAGGACACTGCAATCTAAATTGATCATTATAGTGCTCTGCCTAAAATGAAAATAAAACATAAACGTAAATATTGCAGGCAATAAGCCTTGTTAAAGAGGACCATTTCCTACAACATAGTATTCACATATGATTCTGCTTACTCTGTATGTAGGTGTAAGTGGTTGTACACAGATGCTTGTATGTATGTATACAGGTGTGTATATATAAGTATATACACATGTATATCCATCTTATATACGTGTATCTATCTTATGTATCTAAGTTTTCATAAAGAATCTGCTTAGTAGGGGGATCTTACAGAACCTGTTAGATGTGAGAAAGTTGAATGCATTCATTACCTCAACTGAGATGTCACATTAAACTGAGTTCTCCTTTAAAAAATCAAACGAACAAAAACTTCCTTTAGTTTTGCTCACTTTAAATTGGAAATTATTTTGTTATGTGGGACTCTGAAGAACTAATTACGTTTTGGAAAATATTTTAAATTTATTATTAAATCAATTGAGCTTGGTGTCTGAAACACACAGCTGTGGATGAGACTTCTTGAGGCAATCTATAACAAAAATTTTCATTTGCCACACCTACATGTCTACTAATATAAAGCATTAGTATGAACCCTACTGTCCAAATAACAAAGACAAATGGAAATGTTTCCATTTCACTTCTTTAGCAAACGTCCCCTCTATCTCGGCCTTCAAAGAGTGGTGGAAATAAGAGGATATATCTGAGTGCAGTCCAGCAACAAAGAATAAACTTTTCTTACTCCACTAACAATTTCTACATTTTGGGGAATCCTGTCTTTGATTGCCAGAAGGCATTGTTAGTAACACCAGGATGTTGACTGGTGGAGCTTTAAAAATTGCATTTCTAGGGTTTTAGTGATTGTTGATAATACTTTTTTCTTTTTTTTTTTTTACAAAATCAGATGTCAGATCATTAAAAGTATCCTTCGATACCCTCCCCCAGTTTGTATGCCCTGGAGTCATTCTGTGGAAAATCACCCAGAAGGGCTCTAAGGTGTCCAAAGCTCTAGGAAAACAAGGGCTTATTCGATCCCGTGTGCTACCGATTTACCTGATCTACCGGGCGCGCGCGCACGCGCGCACACACACACACACACACACACACACACACACACACACACACTCTCACGGCCCAGTGCGCTCGCTCAGTTGTAAACCTGGGAATTACCGTAATGACACGAAAAGGACCAAGAGCTGGTTCCTACGAGCTAGTTGCTCGCGTCTACCCTAACCCCAAGAGACAAGGTTCATGGTTTACTGGATCCAGCGCTGTCTGTACACAGAGCGAACCCGCAGTTAAGGTCCCCGCAGCCCCCTCCCCCAGCCTCAGGTTTCTAAACAGACATGCAGCGACAGGCTTTTTCAGAGGAGAGTCTGAAGCCGCAGGGGATTAAATCTCTCTCCCAGCCTAGCCACTCAAAGGTGCCTCGAGGTCTGCAAAGCCTGGGTGGGGACTCAGAGGGAGGGGGCTGGGCAGTGTAGGCTGCTTCCTTTCCTTTGGCGTCTACTTAAGAATCGCAGTCCTTGCACCACAGGCTCACACAGAGCATCCCTGCCTCCAGCCAAGGCAGATAGAAGTGGTAGCTAGTTCATTACTATCCACCAATCTGAAAGGTTGATTACCGCTCTCCGGCAGGACTGCTGAGGCACAAGTTTGGATGTAGTAAGCCTTGAAAGTGCGGCAATGTATCATACTTACAACCCACACAGCAGTGAAAGCTCAGATATCTCTCCATACGTCCAGGGACCGCTTATTGAAATCAAATGGAGGAACCTTCTGGAAATATCATTGAGCAAAAAGCCAAGCCACCCACAGCCATCATCTAGCACTGGGTAGGGAGAAAGAGGAAAACTTTGAGATCTGTTATGGTAGAATATAGGCGGCTTCATGCACCTCCAACAGTTGACATTAACCTTCCTGTATGAACCGTTTTCTAACAGTTATAATGCCACAGAATTAGTTGTTGAAAATTCTCAACACGGCCAAACAGATTCTGTGTGGTTGTGTGTCTGGAAAAGCTGGGAGTTTGTCTGTATGTGGTCTTGCTCGTCGGAAAGACAGAAGAGAGGGAACTGGAAAGGAGGGGAGGGGAAAGCAGAGGAAGAACTGCACCTGGTGAAGGCGAGTTGGGTTCTGCTGGTGTTTGGAACAGCTGAGCTTTGCTGTTTATAGCTGATCTTTGGGTCAAAATGTTGGCGTGGGGGTGGATGCAGTGTGTGTTGCGTGTACTCTTCAGGGGGTGATGCTCGGAGGGAGGGCTGGGGAGCCGGCAGGGAGGTGTGTATGCCACGTCTGAGCCCTTAACACAATGGCAATGTAATTATCTAGCTGTAACATGCTCAAATGGCAAAAAGTTGCAAAATAGATGGACCTCCCTGAGAAGACAGGGAACTGGTTACAGAGGTCTGCAGCCATCATCCTTTCTTCAATACATTTTAAACAAGAGGATCTAGTGAGTGATTCCGATTCAATACACATAATCAGTTTGCAAGTCTTATTTCCATTTGAAAACAGGGCTATTTGCAATCATAAGAGCCGGACACGCTGAAAGACACCGAGCGCATTCCGAGCAGATGATGGGTGACAGATCTGTAGGCAAGCACTAAATATTTTCTTCCAGCCTCAAACCTCGTGCGTCAGTCTTTAATCTCGATATATTTTTAATCGACTATTCCTGCTGAATGTATAATTCGCTTTGAGAAGCAAAGCTTTGATCCATAGCGAGACTCCATGGTTAAGAAAACAAAAACGACAAAACAAAACAAAAAATCAACGGCCAGAGAGGTGACAGAGAAACTATGTGGATTGTGCTTCTCGGTGCAGGCTAACAGTCCTTTAATTAAGAATACACTGGGTAAAAGATTTGATGGAAAATTTGAACTTGCTTTTAAAGGAAGGGCCGCGAGAATACGCTGCCCCTGGCTAAAATTAGCAAGCTGGGGCAGCGAAGCCCAAATCTGGACCCGCGGGGGCCAGCACGACGTCTCAGGGTGGGGGCGCGGAGCGGCCACGAAATCCCCGGTGGCAGCTCAGCGGCCGCCCAGCTGCGTCGGCGAAGACCCGGGGCCCCCAGCGGCCAAGCCGTTCTAAATTGGTTGTCAGGAGTCTCGACTAGAAGTTTGGGCAATTGAAACCTCGAGCTATTTTGTGGTCACTCGTGGGGGAAAGTTTTGGTTTCCAGGACCAAGAAAAGCTGCTGGCCGCGGCCTTCCCCTTCCTGCCTGCAGCTTCCCCCCCTCAAACTCGCGTGGCCTCCCCTGTAACCCCTGCCTAATGCCTCCCGCTCCCTCCCACCGGCGGCCTCCTCTTAACCCCCAGACCCAGCCTCGCTCTTTCTCTCCTTCTCCACTCCCCCCACCCCGCTAGCGGCTTCCTCGCCACGTTTCCGCCCCCCCCCCACCAGTCCCCCGTCTTGGCCTCCGCACCCCCACCGCCCGCTGCCCCGCTGGTGGCGCTCCATCCCTTTACCCGCGCTCGCCCGGAACGACCTTGGCTCGGCGCCGCCTGCCGACGGGTCCCCCAAGCCCTTGTGGAGACCACACCAAGAAGCCTGGTGCTCCGAGTAGTAGAGGCTTCCGGTAGATTTTGACTCCAGAGTACAGCACTGGGTTCCGAAGATGATCCGAACCTGAACCTGAAGTTGTGTTTGAAGGTCTTAAAGCACAATCTTTCTTTTAACAAATAAAACCAAACAAAGCCAGCGAACTGCTGGTGTTTCCCGATGAGTTTTTCTAAGGGAAAGACGACGTTATGGCTCTGCCCGGATACCCACATCTAGTGAACTTTCTACTAGGTTGAAACTCAATCTAATAATAGTATGTGCTTGATAAAAAGGAGCCCTGGTGGCGCAGTGGTTAAGCGCCCTGCTGCTAAAAGGTTGGAGGTTCGAACCCACCAGTCTCCGAGGGAGAAAGATGTGGCAGTCTGCTTCCCTAAAAACTACAGCCTTAGAAACCCTATGGGGCAGTTCTGCTTTGTTGCTATGAGTTGGAGTTCACTCCAGGGCAGCCGGTTTTGTTTTTTTATGTGTTTTTTAATTTTTTAATGTACTTAATGCAGATTCCATTTTTATTTCAAAAGGGGATAATTTATTAACCTCCTCAAGTTGGTGCCTCTTAGGCAGGTGTCCTGGTTTTAGACGACCTGGGGAGAACCAATAGATGGAGAGTGTATGTGTGTGGGGGTGGGGTAGGGGTGGGGATTCTTTCTGCACAGTTACCAGCCCTACTTGCTCGCTTTTCTGCAAAACTCATTCTAAAGGCCATGGTACTCTGTTTAACCAGTGCCAAACTATAAATTATAGGAAGACCCTAGGAGAGGGGCCGAGACTGCTGGCAGCAAGAAGCCTCCAGGCTCCCTATTCCTGCACTGGTAGGGCAGAACTCCTACCAGCTGGTAGAAAGTGAGGTTGAGGTTGGGACCAGCAGGACAAAGTCTGCTGGGGTGAAAGGAGAAGAGCTCCCCTGCCTCAAGACAGGGCCCCAGTGTAGGCTTAACTGGCTGAACAGAGGGGGATGCCCAGGAACATGATTCAGAGCAGCTGAGAAACAGAGCAGGTTCCCAGGGCAGGAAGTTTCAGTCACCCTACAGCCCCGTAGAGATATGGCACCATTTGGTCAGCACTGAGTGGTGGGCAGTTCTAGGAGTGCTGGTTGATTTGTGCTGATCCCTTCACGCCATTCTAGGCTTCACTGAGGAACAAAGATACACACACTTAGACTTCTGGTTCAGGTCTTCAGGTGCAATCCAGGTCAGGGAGAGGAAACTTCAGCCCACCTTTCTCAGGGCGTCCTTTCCCTGCCCCCCAGTGAAGACATGAGACGTACCTGCAGGAGCATCTTATTCTTGTATTTATGGCCTGATACGGCTTCATTATGTACTTTCATTTGTTTCCTTACCCTTCCTGGTTTTCTATTTCTTGATCTCTATTCTCCATGCCTATGCTTTACTTGCTTTCTTGTCCAATTCCAGCCTTGTAGTTGCAGTCTTCATAGGCAATTCGCTATCATTTTCCAAATGTCAGTACTAAAAGGAAAAGCAGATAAAGTGGATGGGCTAAGACATAAAGAATGAAAGTCAATAAGGCCCATATGGGAGGCAAGTTGGGGGTGGGTGGGTAAGAAGGCCAGAGAACAGCCAAGGTCAGCATATCAGAGGACTGGCGAGAAAAACGATAGAAGCAAAGAGAAGCAGCAGCCCACAGAAATTCAATTAATGTCAGTAGATGGGAAGGAAGGAGTACAGCCCCAGCTTAAGGCACAAGCCTGGCCTGGACAGGCATACAGTGGAATGAAGAGGAAGCAGATGTGTATATGGTGGCCTGTCTCTGAGATGAGAGGCAAACCTAGCGATCCTTGCTTTCCCTCCTGCCAGGCTTTAAGAAAGGGGACCGTCCAGCCAAAGTAAATTAAAGGACCAAGGCGCCTCCAGGCTGACCGGCTTCAGGTTCTGAGCCCTGGGAAGAAAAAAATTGGGGGGCCCATGGGAGCAGGGGGCGCAGCAATGGGAGAAGAAACTTTATGGAAACAGACAAGACTCTTTGCTTTCACACATGTGCCCCACCCCTCCGCCTTGCAGTTGGGGAAAGGCACTTTGGGAAAAGGGAATCCCCTTTGCCTTTCCAGACCCTTGCAGTTGGACAGCGCCCTCTTTCTTGCCTGCGAGCGCGGCCTCGTGGGAGGCGCCACGTAGAGGGCGCCCCAGCCACCTAGGAAAATGATGGGGCGAGTCCGCTGGGATTCGGAGCCTAGCCTGCCCCGCGGCCCGCATTCTCCGGCCCTGAGCCATTTCCAAGGTGGAAGGCGGTCAGGAGAGAGCAAACCCTTCCCCGCGCCCAGGCCACGCCGCTTCCTCAGCGGGCGGGCGGGCGCGCGGCAGGTGGGGCGGCACCCCATCCGCCCCGCCTTGGCTGGCCAAGCTGGAGCCCAAGGGCAGCGGCGCGGAGGAGGCTCGGCTCGCCCGGCTGTCCTGGCTCTGCCCCGTGAGGAGGAGAGATAGACCCACCCCCAAACTTTCCACGTTACGGCCAAACCCCCAGAGAGCCCGCTTGGGGTCCTCTCCACGGGTCCTGGGAGACCGGGTCCCTTACTTTTTAAAGGGTCACACACACTGTGATCTATTTCAGCCGGAACACGTTAACTCTCTTAATCCCCCAGCGTGACACTGTTAGTGGCTCCCATTGGGTTGGTGACCGCAGAAGTGCACGTTAGAGACGCTTCCCGGCCTGTGGTGCTCAGACCTCCTCCCCGTGGGCCCCCGGCGGGCAGGAGAGGTCGGGAGGGAGACCCGGCCCGGGCGCGGGCCGCCGAGACCTTCCCGCGGTGGGCACCTCCGGTCGCCCGCACCCCGGCCCCCGCCCGGCCGCTCCGCCGTCGGGACTCCTCCTGGGCAGGACCAGCCCGGCCGCTCCCCAGCCTCCTAGGGGGCTGTGGGCGTTGAGGCCCGAGTCCGCCTCTCGGAGCTGGAGGCCGCGCCCGCGTCCTCCCTCCCGTTAACATTCTTCCATAATTTCCGAAGCAAAGATTTCCATCTTTTTTGGGGAGGATTTGTTTCATCTCTCCTAAAATCAGAAACGGAGTCTTCAAAATTCCTAATGTGTGTGTTTATTTTTTTCCTTCTAGCATTCAAATGAATGCAAAGCCACGAATCGAATCCCGTCACTCATTTGGGGTTAGCTTCTCCCGATATTTCACACGGAAAACAAAACTGGGTCCGTCTTATTTGTACTTGTCCTTAACCTTTGCAGCAACTGCTGTAGATGCGGCTCTGTCCATTCTCTAATAGATTTTACCAGGGGCTGGTGACAGAGAACTGATTTCTTTTCTATTAGGGTTTAGTACATCTTTGTTGAAGGCCCGTAGAACGACCAGGGATTAGATTTGCATCTCTTAGACGCCCTGTGTGGTCTTTGTGCGAAGCTTGTAACTGTTAAAAATGACTTGTTAGGAAGCGTGTGGGCTCTCATCGCTCTCCTTTTGACAGAATGATTGTGAAATTCAGATTGGCCCTGTAGGATTTAGCCGCAGATTCCACCTGAACCCTAAGCAATTAGACCCTAATCTCAATGCAATCATATTTGAGTTAGGATTTGTTGCACTTTGTTTACTTCAATTAAAAGCAGTGGAATAATTTTTTCCCAGCTTTTAATGTGAAATCTCCAGGCATAAAACCTCAGGACTTCTTAGAAACGGTTTTTGTGGGGATGGGGATTTCTTTTGCGTGTGGTTTCCTCCTAGGCTTCCTCCCCCCGCTCCCATTTAAAAAATTCTTTTTTTCTTCCCCGGTTGCTCGCTAACACCCGGATCATCTTCGCGAGAGTTGGATTCGCGCCCCAAGAACAAATTCGACGTGGCTCCCAGCTGCCAGGGGCCCCAAGCGCCGGGCGTCCCTCTCCGCGGCGGAGCGTTCCCACCCGGCCGCCCGCGGGCTGCTCCCGCGCGGGCTCAGTGGAGTGGGAGCCCGTCTGGCGTCCTTCTTGCTGAGACGCAGCAGAAGACCAGC